AATATTTTAGTGAACAAGAACTAAGGGATTCAGTTTTGACAGAAGGAACACTCTCGATCATTCACTTCAATAGTAGAAGTTTGTATTGCAATTACTCTAAAATATTGGATTATTTAACACAAAATAAAAAACCATTTCAAATCATTGCTATAACAGAAACATGGTTAAAAGAAGGGGATGATGAGGAGGTACAAACAGAGGGGTATGAAATGTACTTTATGAATCGGAATAATAAAAGAGGAGGTGGTGTTGCACTGTATGTATGTCACAATTTAAAAAGTAAAGTCATTCATAACATGTCAACAGCCATCCAAGATGTACTGGAAATGATCACTATTGAAATAATCTCTGAAAAGACAAAAAACATAATAATAAGTTGTATCTATAGAGCACCTGGATCTTGTGTAGAAACATGTACAAATACAATTACTGAGATGTTGAGTGGAATCTGTAACAAGGATGTATTTGTCTGTGGGGACTTTAATGTTGACCTGGAAAATGTAAACAATTCAAAGACAGCAAACGACTTCATAAATTCAATGTATCTACTGGGTCTGTTTCCACTGATAACCAAACCAACAAGAATTGACGTGCATAGCTCAACAATTATAGATAATATATTTACTAATGCTTCAGAAGGGATAGAGAGAAGTGGAATAGTGATGACTGATATCAGTGATCATCTGCCAATTTTCACAGTCTATAAAAATCACCAGATCAAAAATCAACAAAAAATGGAAAAACTTATAAGGGACAGGTCACAAAACGCTATAGATGCACTAAAAAGAGATCTGGAACAACAAAACTGGGAAGAAGTATATGTTGATGATGTAAACATGGCTTACAATTCTTTTATAGGAATATTATGTAGTCAATATGACAAAAACTGTAAAACAAAAACTCAAACACAAAGAGGGAGGATGAACAAACCATGGATGACAAAAGGGCTGCTGAACGCCTGTAAGAAAAAAAATACATTATATAGATGTTTTTTAAAACTAAGAACAAGTGAAGCAGAAAGGAAATACAAAAAATATAAGAATAAATTAGTTTCTATAATCAAAAGACAAAAAAAGGAATATTATAGCAATTTATTAGAAGAAAACAAAAATAATATTAGAGCAACTTGGGGAATAATAAATAATGTCATAAAAAGAAATCAAATAGCTTCAACTGTTCCAAATTATTTTGAAAACGGACAGTCTGAAATTAGTGAAACCAGTAAAATAGTAAATGAATTTAACAATTTTTTTACTAATGTGGGACCTGACCTGGCAAAAAGCATTCCAAAAAGAACAAATTATAGTATAGGTGAGAATATCAAAAGCAATGAAAACAGTATATATTTAAGTCCAGTAACTAGTGATGAAATAATAAATATTATCAATAAATGCATCAATAAAAGAAGTACTGACTGTGACGGTTTAGACATAACATTAATAAAAAATATAATAGAAAGTATTATTCATCCATTGACTTACATATGTAATTAATCTTTTGCAACAGGGACATTTCCTAACAGGATGAAAATTGCAAAAGTCATACCACTTCATAAAAGTGGAGACAAACATATCTTTTCCAACTACAGACCAATATCTTTATTGTCACAATTCTCAAAAATATTAGAAAAATTATATATTGCCAGGTTGGACCGATTCCTGATCAAAGAAGAGATATTAAATGACAGTCAGTATGGTTTTAGAACAAATCATTCAACATCCATGGCATTAATGGAATTAACAGAAGAAATATCGGAAGCCCTTGACAAAAAAAATCATCTCATAAGTATCTTTATTGATTTAAAAAAAGCATTCGATACAGTGGATCATACAATTCTTAGTAAAAAACTTTGTAAATATGGCATCAAAGGGATGGCCCTAAAATGGATAACAAGTTATCTTACCGATAGGCAGCAATATGTTCAAATAAACAACACAAAATCACATATAAATAACATTACTTGTGGTGTACCACAAGGGTCGGTATTGGGCCCTAAACTATTTATCATTTATATAAATGACATTGTTGAGGCATCCAATATATTAAAATGCACCTTATTTGCAGATGATACAACTTTTTACTATTCAGGAGATAATGTTGAGCAGATGATAGAAGTGATACAAGCAGAGATGAAAAAAATTAAACTATGGTTGATGGAAACAAACTATCATTAAACAGTGATAAATCCTGTTTTATGATATTTAGTAATACAAATTCAAATGATGAAATTTTATTAAATATAGATGAGATTAATATTAAAAGAGTTCAAGAAGTCAAGTATCTGGGAGTCATCATTGATGAAAAACTGTCATGGAAACTACATATAAACAGTGTCAAAACTAAAATATCTAAAACGATTGCACTGTTACATAGAGCAAAACGGTTGCTTGATAATAATTCATTATATTTGTTATATAACTCACTGATCGTACCATACCTGAACTACTGCATTGAAATCTGGGGAACAACATATAAAACTTACACAAATTCCATTTACATCTTACAGAAAAAAGCAATAAGGAGCAACTACAGAGATCTGTCCAATCCATTATTTATTAAATTAAAAACACTAAAATTCTATGATCTGGTGGACTACAATATTTTAAAATTTATGTATAATGCAAACAAAAGGAACGTACCTGCAGGATTAATTAAACGATTTTCAAAAAGACATAGCAAATATGATTTAAAGGGACATGAATTATTTAATATACCTAGACATCGGATACTCGTAAAGGAACATTGTGTCTCCATATATGGAGTTAAATTGTGGAATAAATTGAATACTGAACTCAAGAATGCAAAAACAATATTGACTTTCAAAAAAGAGATAAAAAATAAAACAATTAACTTATATAGATCCGTTACATAAATGTGTGAGGGGAGGGGGGTGGGGGGGATTAAAGGAACAAAATATTAACCTAGTATGTGCTTGTATGTGTATATATGTATGTATATAGATCTGTAACTTAATGCTTCTTTCTGTGTAACTTGTTTTCTTTTTCTATTTTTTTCTCAAATTCATGGGTTGAGATTTTGTCGGCCAACAAGTCCAGGAACTATATTGTTCAATTTCCTTAAGAGTCATATGATTATTTCATTTGTATTAATGCTATTTTAGTTAAAAGGGGCAGACAACATAAGTTTTTCTTCTTTCTGTCCCCTTTTTCATTTTGGCTTGCAGCAATTTAGTTCTGATTGTATTTTTATTTTAATGTCAATAAATGAAAATAAAAGATTAAAAAAAAACATTTGCGGCGTTCTGGATCTTGGGGAATCCTGTAGATGGCTAATTTCCTTATGTCTTCCGCGTCTGTTCTGCATCCTGGGGCACAACAGGAATCTACCATATTTCCAGTTTGATTGAGTTTTCTGACAATAACAAATAATCCAGCTGCGGGCTTCTGCCTGCCAATATGGCGCCGTTTCGATTTGAACTGTTGCATGCCGGGAGAAGTGACGTCAACTCCCGGAGCTCTATAGTAGGGTAATTATTATTATAGTAGGGTAAGGGTGATTTTTGGTGACTTTCAGTGTTTTGTAGAGAAATACGGAGAGGCGACATGGACTGTTTGTACCCAGGATGCAACAATACCACTTTTTTCCAAACCAATACGATACAGATACTTGGATCTGAATACTCGCCGATACCGATTACCGATACCTATACTTCTACCACACAAAAAAATGTAATGATTTGGAACACAGATTTTGTTTTCTTCTCTGCTTTCAACAGGAAAAGACTGTGGGGAAGATAAAAAGTAAAATATATTAATAGAAATCATCACAAAACTAAAATATTAGGTAAACAGAAATGACAAGTTACAGTGAAACCATTTTCAAGCTACTGCATTGGTATCGGTTCCTGGTATCGGTTAACTTTTACTGATACCAGTATCGTATCGGTGCATCCCTATTTGTACCATTGATATGTCTCAATAAAGTTTGAAGAAAAAAAATTGAGCTGTGTGGTAGCGGACCGCCATTTTGGATGGGACCTGCCGGTTGTGTAATCAACCCGCAGAAACTGGTTGATTACACCGCGGCCAGACTACTAGCACCACAATGTCTTCAGAAGCGAAAACGCTTTTAAAAGGGAGGGAGGAGTCCTAAGTGTTGCTGCAGGCGTGTTGTGAGAGTGCAGTTATATACTGGTTAATATATTTTTGGGTTCAGTTGCTTTCATGTGGCCTAATGTGAGTCTATTTGGGATCATTGGAATGATCAGCAGCATTTCTTGATGTGACTTTATGGCAGTTGCCCATGGCATCATCACAAGGAGGATGGAATTCATTTACTTTTGTTTTATTTGGTATTTTTTCAGTCATTTTTGGAAATAGTGATTAATTTTGATTAATTCACAGCCTATGTTTAATTACATTTAAAAATTAGTTGTTTGACATCCCCAATTATAATAAATGTCTACAGATGAGATCAAACAAAACAGATGAGAACTGCTGTTTAACTTGGACCAAGCATTTTAGGTCACAGATAGGTGTAGCTTAGGGTCTCTGTCTATACACCTTATAAGACAATTTAGGTGATGGCATGTTGTTTTTCTGCTATTGAACTGTTTTCTAATAATGTTGTGTTTAATAAAGTGAAGGAAGGAGAGAAATAACGTTTCCCTAGCAGTTTTTAAAAATGTCCCCATGTAATCCGATTAATCGATTAATCGTGTCGAGACCCCATCCGATTAATCAATTATCCAAATAATTGTTTGTTGCAGCCCTAGTACCGATGCTCTGGCACAGCGTGTTGCCCCCTCGAGCGCAGGAGCTTGTCACCTACTCGTGGTACATTCCACCCGACCACGATAAAATACCGGCCATTATTCACCTCCGCCGACTCAGACACCGGCCAACATATGATACCCGGCCGTTAATTCAATATAGGCTAATATTAGAGGATTTACGGTACATACACTGAATTATATCAAAGCATCTTTTAAATTGACAGCAATTAGAAATAATCAAAACCAAATAAATTGCACAAGTCTGTAAACAGCATACTCCAACTTTTATTTAAACATTCAACTGATAGAAACAAACAACAAATGTAAACTAGCAAGCAAACAAGTTTATTTCAACAGAAACTCTGTAGCTCCTGGAAAATGAAATCAGACAACAAATGAAAAGATCAATTGTCTCTTTATACATTATAAAATCATCCCTCCCACATAACTGAACCTCCAGAATAAAGGACCGGGTGCTCTGGTACATCCACAGACCATTCCTGATACGTGCCGGCTTGTGCTGACCACATGTCACTAAATCAACAGAATTATTCTGCAGTCCTTCATATCACCACACAGTAAAGTACACCTTTGGTGCTTTTATTGGAGTCACATGCTTCACTTTTATTTGTGCAGACATGGAGCACCCTTCCATATGATGCAGGTTATCTGGCAGTGGTAACATTTCTACAAAAACATAAGAGGTGGTGCTGCAACACAACAGGAGCTCTTGAATTGTTTCCAGAGTGGCTGTTGAGGGAGTTTCCAGGCTGCATTCAACACTTCCTTCATCTCTGTTGCAAGTACTGGCCCCAAATGGGAAGCATCAGGAAAATGTTGCCAATTTGTATTTTATTTTTTGTCCAATCATCACAAACAGATTATAGCACTTTTAAAAGTGATGCCGTGTACTCCTGTATGAAGGAAGTGTTTGGAAATCAGGCCTGGTTCAGTGGCAGACAGAAGCAAGTTCCTATGGAGGCCACGATCTTAGTAGAGATAGAGCAGGTTCTATTTAGAACCAGAAGAACTGAAATATAAATCATGTTTTTAAAATTGGTTGGCTCTCTAACCAGAATGGTAATCCGGTGTTTGGATTAATAATTAATTCTAGAGGAACACAAATCGGTGGTGGGTGGGGGCTCAAATGTTCTTCATTTGGAGAAGTAGATGTGTGTTCTCTGGTCCCAAAGTAACTCAGTAGGTAGTCTCATGATGTTTAGACGTGTGTCATTGGGATCTCTTCAGGAGATAACACACTTCCTCCAGCTTGACCTTATTTAAACGTGTCGTATTCCAGAAAAAAATTCAAGAGTCCAACTGGAAGTGGGTAAAGCTTTCGAGGAACTCCAGAATGAACTGTAACTGTAAATCTATAAAGTTTCGTTCTAAAGGCTGAAGATGTTTTTAGATGATTCTAGATAAATAAAGAAAAAAAAAAGTCACACACACACAATGGTCTTTATCTTTTCTACAAGATGCTGGGAACTCTTGAGCTGGTTTCAGAAAACAGACGGCAGTTCTAGGCTGTTGGAGCAGCTGCTGATTTAGCTTATGAGACATCTCTGCTGGGACTTGGAGTCGGGCTTGGAGACGTTTGCGGTGCTGGCTGTGTTTACCGTGCCCTCATACAGAGACTGGGTTGTGACTGTGCCCAGGGGCTTTGATAACGCTTCAGAAGAACTTGCTTCTGTGTTGTCAGGGGAGCTCTCAACATCCTGAAGAAACATGAGCAGGGTTAGAAAATCAGTCAGGTCAGGCAATTATACATCAGAGTTTAGTCTATCAGATTTCCACAAAAATCACAAATTAATTCAGAAACGTCTTGAAAGATGTATTGACGGATAATGTTACAGGATACAAACGTTAAATGTATGTTATATCATCAATCCGAACGGAAGCCTCTGGGGTTTACTGTCGTCATTGACGTGGAAAAGTTGGGTCATAAAGTTTTTGCTTGAATTTATTTGTAGTTTCAGCAAAACGTGTTACAAATCCTTGGATAAATGTTGATTAAACTTAGAAAGGAATCCTATAATTAAGTATAACTGGTCCATACTTGGAGCCAACCTGATTCAAGATGGCCACCAAAGCTGGTAAACATTAGCAAACACAAGAATGGCTAAAACTAGGTCCCTTTTACAGATGCCGGTCTGTGTAGTAGTTACGAGTCATCCCAATGCTAACAGACCACAAAGGATTTAGTTAGAAATGTATTAAAGATGGCTGCCATACTGAGTCAACCTCAAGCCTAGTTTATGCCTCTCCGTCAGCTCCACGAGGGAGAGATGCACGGACTCTCAGACTTCTCCGTCCGCCGGGGAGTGTTGATAGCAGTTCCCCGTCACAACAACAGAGGGTGTAGCGCTGTTCTGGGGTATCCTGTCATGTATCGGTCCAGTGCATTTAATATTATGTTTATATTGTATTTTTTGTATTTCAGACATTTGTTAACACGGACTAATTTGTCTCTCATTCTCCTCTACCTCTTCATGTGCTCGCCACTTCTAAACCCACTTTTCCCATCATTTCCATCCTTGTAAAAAAAAAAAAGCTAGCTGCGTGTCTTTTTACTCCTCCAGTCACGGTGAATAAAACGTTTAGGAGTTTTTCCACGAGGTATGCTTCAAGCTGCAGTGTCTGTTGCAAGATATCTTCGGCTCCCTTTATGATTTTGAGGGGGCAGTGGCGGTGCTGTTGACCAGAGTGTCGTCCTGACCAGTGGCGGACTGGCCATCTATGGGTTCTGGAGAATCCCAGAATGGTCGTGTGCTCTAGGAATGGTGTCGGCCATTCACCTCCCCTCTCCCCATCGGAGATCCCCATCATAGAATCGAGCAGGCTGCAGCAACGTCCAGCCTACCCTCCCACCCAGTGCTTTAAGAGGGCCAGTATGGCCACTTATAATTTTGAGTTTTTCTGCTAATTTATTAGTGAAAATCTCCAAGATTTCTGATGAAATATCTGTCCGTCCTCAAACACCAGCAATTCACTCCCTCCACCGCCGTCCCTCCCATTACACCAGAATCACTCTCCTTCTGCTTTTTGCGTACGAGGAGCGGTGAACCCTGGGCGTACTGCGCATACAGCTCCGTTGGCCCAGGCACAGGAGAGAAAAATAAGAAACAAGGAATCCAACAACGTGCACATTCCCGCAAAGATTTACAGCAGCACAATCTGACCAACCAGTGATTGGAAGTGCTCACAGGCATTTGGATAGATGGCATCCAAACAGAAATACAGGTGCTGGCCAGTAAATTAGAATATCATCAAAAGGTTGAAAATATTTCAGTAATTCCATTCAAAACGTGAAACTTGTACATTATATTCATGCAATGCACACAGACCAATGTATTTCCAATGTTCATTACATTTAAATTTGATATTTATAGGTGACAACCAATGAAAACATCAAATCTGGTATCTCAGAAAATTAGAATATTCTAAAGGCCAATGAAAAAATGTTTGTTTCTCTAATGTTGGCCAACTGAAAAGAATGAACATGAAAAGAATGTGCATGTATAGCACTCAATACTTAGTCGGGGCTCCTTTTGCCTCAATAACTGCAGTAATGCGGCGTGGCATGGACTCGATCAGTCTGTGGCACTGCTCAGGTGTTATGAGAGCCCAGGTTGCTCTGATAGTCGTCTTCAGCTCCTCTGCATTGTTGGGTCTAGCGTATTGCATCCTCCGCTTCACAATACCCCATAGATTTTCTATGGGGTTAAGGTCAGGCGAGTTTGCTGGCCAATCAAGGACAGGGATACCATGGTCCTTGAACCAGGTGCTGGTGGTTTTGGCACTGTGTGCAGGTGCCAAGTCCTGTTGAAAGGTGAAGTCTGCATCCCCATAAAGTTGGTCAGCAGCAGGAAGCATGAAGTGCTCTAAAACTTCCTGGTAGACGGCTGCATTGACCCTGGACCTCAGGAAACAGAGTGGGCCAACACCGGCAGATGACATGGCACCCCACACCATCACTGACGGTGGAAACTTTACACTGGACCTCATGCAACGTGGATTCTGTGCTTCTCCGCTCTTCCTCCAGACTCTGGGTCCTTGATTTCCAAAGGAAATACAGAACTTGCTTTCATCAGAAAACATAACTTTGGACCACTCAGCATCAGTCCAGTCCTTTTTGTCCTTGGCCCAGGCGAGACGCTTCTTGCGCTGTTTCTTGTTCAAGAGTGGCTTGACACACGGAATGCGACACCTGAATCCCATGTCTTTCATGAGTCTCCTCGTGGTGGTTCTTGAAGCGCTGACTCCAGCTGCAGTCCACTCTTTGTGGATCTCCCCCACATTTTTGAATGGGTTTGTCGTCACAATTCTCTGCAGGGTGCGGTTATCCCTAGAGCTTGTACACTTTTTTCTACCACATTTTTTCCGTCCCTTCGCCTGTCTGTTAATGTGCTTGGACACAGAGCTCTGCGAACAGCCAGCTTCTTTAGCAATCACCTTTTGTGTCTTGCCCTCCTTGTGCAAGGTGTCAATGATTGTCTTTTGGACAGCTGTTAAGTCAGAAGTCTTCCCCATGATTGTGGTGCCTTCAAAACAAGACTGAGGGACCTTTTAAAGGCCTTTGCAGGTGTTTTGAGTAAATCAGCTGATTAGAGTGGCAGCAGGTGTCTTCTATATTCAGCCTTTTCAGAATATTCTAATTTTTTGAGATACCAAATTTGGAGTTTTCATTAGTTGTCACTTATGAATATCAAATTTAAATGTAATGAACATTGGAAATACATTGGTCTGTGTGCATTGCATGAATATAATGTACAAGTTTCACGTTTTGAATGGAATTACTGAAATATTTTCAACCTTTTGATGATATTCTAATTTACTGGCCAGCACCTGTACAGTGAGCAAGCACAAGAAAGAAAATACCGAAACAAGACGAGTGCTTCATTTGAAAGGTGGCACGTTGTTGAAAAAATGAACACCTTTATGGGCATAAAACAGAGATGTGGAATTGTGACATCAACAAGTCATCTCATGTTTTTCTCCAGCTGGGAAACTAAACCAGGTCATTTCAATCAGCACAGTGAACGAACCTCTTTCAGTTGCTGAGCAGAACAACAACACGGCATGTAGGGGACTTGTTGATGCCACGATTCTTATCTCTGGCATCAACATCCCAGCTGCTGAGGAGAATTCTGTCTGAATTTTACAGAAACCTTCACCTGTGTCTTGTATTGTATTAGTCTTTCGATCCATAGTATTACGGGTGTACATATTAATAATCTGTAAGAAAACAGTCTGTCTGAGCTTATCAGCTCAGCTCAGAAGCAACAGCATCAGATGACCTCAGCGATGACTTTGTATCCATGAATAGGAGACGTGTGTCTGCAGAAAGCTTCTTCCGCTGGAGAAATGGGGGCGGGCTCCAGTCCGCCCCTGGTCCTGACCAGTCACAAGCTTGCATTCTCCGTCTTGTTTGACAGATGTTCAAAATGGGCTCAACTCTGTTCGTCCTTGCAAACCTGCTGTAAACCTCGCAGGGACACGTAACGGCATTGCGTGCCTCCTTACCGACAGAACCATGAACTAGGCTTTAGCCAACCCCAGAATAGCTATAGCTGTGTCTGTTTTAAAGATACTAGTATTAATATAACTCTGTTATTTTTCATTATCATGAACTTGATTTACTCCTCTGGTAGGTAAGGTGATGAGGATTACAAGGTCCTTTCTTTCAGCGTTTCAACGGTCCTCATATGATGGTTTTAATGTAACCATGTAACTCCTGGCTGAATTCACCTTTGCTGAGGGCCAACATTTTATTCTGTCTCTGTTTTTTGATAGCCTGGCAAACCATCCTAAATATGTAAATATATAATCTCACTATGACCCATAGACGAAGCTGAGTCGTGGGATGGAATCAAAATGTCTCTGCATGTTATTGGGCGTTGCTAGGACCAATCAGAGCAACGAACAACATGGGGTATTCATCGCTAGAGAAATCGGTCAACGGGGCAGTCCACCACATACCGTAGAATAAGAAGAAGCAAACAGTCTTCTTCTGAATAAAGGACTCACCCCTCCTTCACACTGAACGCCCCAACGGCGCGGCGCGGCAGTAGAATGTTGCTGCTTCCAATACAATCTATTATGGTCTCGGGGCTGATTCCAACCAGCTGCAACGTGGACATTTTCAGGCGGATCCCAGAAGCGCCATGCTATGTCGCTAAAGACAAGATAGGCTTCAATTTTTGCCGTCAGCCGATTCTGGGACATGTCAGTTTCCGCAATTAAAATCACACGCAGTTTCAATTGTTGTGATCTCTCAAGTCAAAGGAGGAGGATGGTGGAAGTCTCGAGGGATTTTGTGACCCAAACCCTAAATCAAGTCCAGGAGCATAGCAAGGAAGCTGTTCCGCGGCCAATACTCTCCTTGCGCATTGAAGCTTGCAGGTAAAATGTTCTGCTGCCGTTCTGCGCTGCTTGATGCATCCATTGTGAAACCCGGGTTAAGTACCTCTATCTGTTCATGTCGCAAAATCGAAATCATCCAAAGTTAATGCCAAAGTCGTTTCACACAAGCGCCATTCCTTGGACAATGCCATCTCTGTAGTTTTTCTCCATTGCAGCTCTGTTGCGAAGCCTACCCAATGTCTGGACCTAAAACTGATCCAGCCAATGGTGGACCTACTGAGGCTACAATGGAGAGGGGCTAGACTGACCTGCAGAGCTAAATGTTTTGCTGTTGCTACGCTTGGTCTAGATTTCTAGGCTATGTATTTATTGCATTCTTAAAGATGCCAAAGCAGATGGGTGTGGCATTCTGGGGTCGCTGTAGCTATAATAAGAGCAGTCACCTGTACTTAATGGTTTGACCCCACCTTCTCCATCAGATTTGTATTTGTGCATGAGGCTAAAGCCCGTATAGCCCCATTGACCTCTGAATTGGACATGTTATTGTGTGTTTGAACAGACGAATATTACTTTTGGTGTAAAGTGCTTTGAGTTGTCAATAAAACACAAGAAGGGCTCCATAAATGTTAATTTACCATTTACCTATTAAAGTCATACGTTGCTTTTGAATAAACAGGCTTCTTTACTTCTAAAGATGCATTTTGATTGAGAAGAACAATGGCTCCATTAAACAATAAAAGAAGTGCAGTTGTCTTTATTAAACCACCTACGTCCTAGGACACCTGAGCTGGATAACTGAGATTCTTCATCAATGCAAGGACGATACTTGTTAGAAACGTCTCAGATGAAGGTGTACTAGGTGTACGGCATATTACCTTTGTCTCCTCTGCAGTCGGCTGAGCGGTTGGTCCAGAAACAACTTCGGCCTCCCCACCGACTAAAACCCCAGTTTCCTGACACCACCAAAGACAAATATCAGAAGTGTTCCCATGAACACACACACACACACACACACACACACACACACACACACACACACACACACACACACACACACACACACACACACACACACACACACACACACACACACACACACACACACACACACACACACACACACACACACTCATACTCACACACACCTATATGTTAACAGCTGTAAATAATGAGGTGTTTAACCATTTCAGAGTTATTACAGTTCATTCAACTTCACTGCTGTTGGATGCGGCATAAGCGTCGTTTGACTGCCCTCTAGTGCAGCAACAAGCTTCAGGCATGCAGGGAGCTTCATGCAAATCCAGCGACAGAAGAAATGGAGGTAACTGTCCTCATTGAAAGGAAGATGTGTGAAGTTTTTATTCAGGTGGAATGTTTTCTTCACCAGCAGCAGAGAGCA